CAGGCATGTACTACCACGCCCAGCTGATTTTTTGATTTATTGTAGAGATGAGGTCTCACTGCCCAGGCAGGTCTCGAACCCATGGGCTCAGGCAATCCACTCACTTCAGCCTCCCAAAGGCGCGGGATTACAGGCTGAGCCACTGAGCCCGGCGATCCTCCTGATCTTAATGCTTGAGACTTACCATTATCTGAGTTCCTTTCTCAGGAAACCCACCTTCAAGCCTTATAGTATCAAAGAACTTAAACTCACCAGATCACCCAATCCATGCAGTGAGATGCCAGACCCCTTCTGTTTACCATTTCCTTTTCCTTACCCTTCCCTAATTCCTGTTTACCAACTCCTCTGCCCAACGCCCTACCCAACTCCTATTTACCATCACTTCTTCCTACCCTCCCTAATTCCTGTTTCCTACATTCCTGCCCCACTATATAAACCCTTGACTTCAGGGAATGGGGAGACAGGTTTGAAATGGAATCTCCTGTTCTCCTTGCTGATATCACCCAAATAAAAAGACTTCTTCCCTGAGAATTCTCATTGTCTCAATGGTTGGCTTTCTGTGTGACAAGCAACAAAACCTCAACCAAACCCCCTGGTGTTTTGGTAACACATCTTCAGAATGGGGCAGGGATGGCAGGAGAGAGCCATTTGGTCTCTCTTCAGCAGGTGTAAAGAGCAGTTCCACATGACTGGCTAATCATGCTCTTGGAGTCAAATTTTTTAAAAAGTTGTGAAGGAAAGTAAGTTTCAGGACCCCCAAATTTACTATGTCAAAGGGAAAGTTAAGTCTGGAGATGAGTCACATCAATACATCTGTCCTTTTCCTGAATAGAGAGTTGTTACTTTGCAACCTTGTGTCAACGCACTCTACAATTAGCCAGACCCCACAAAAGGAAAAAGGCCTCCCCATCCCCATGACTGCCCTCACAAATTGCTCATGAGTAAATTCTCTGCAAGCACCCAAACCTTTCAAGACTGTATATCGTCCATAAACAAAGACATGTCAACTGTCTTTTTTTGTCAACAGGCAAGCCCAGTCTAACTACTTGACCATGAAACTAAAGTTCGTCAGATTTCACACTGACAATGTCAGATACAAGCTCATCTTCCCAGCTGCAAAACAAAGACAGGAAGAGGTCAACCATTCCCCCTCCTACCCTGAGAAGCCTGCAGCACTAATTCCTTTTTCACTCCCTGCTTTGAAGGTTTACCTTATGTATAGCATAGATTTACTGGGCACTAATTGAAACCTCATGAGGATGTCACCATTTGCCTCACCACCTACTCACCTTTCCTTGCATGCTTTTTCCCCTTTAAGAAAACGTATAAATACTGAGTCTCCTAAAAACCTCTCCGGAGAGCAAAGGCCACAGACGTTTCTGTGACATGGGTTTTTTTCCCAAACGTGTCCTCAGCTCTGGCTCAAAAAACCTCCAATGATTGAGACTCTTGCCTCAGTCTCTCATTTGGGACCAAGTATTAAACACTTACTATGATCAAGATACTACCAATCATCAGGAATTAAGACTGATAAAATATGGCTATGATCAGGAAAAAAAGTAAACTACATCCAAATTCACTGTCTTTTTTGGATTATTTGACAGAGTGATTTTACCTGCTGCCTGAATTGTATTATAATGACCTCTCTAGTAAAACACAAAGTCCAGTTTAACCAAGGAATCTGAACCAGGGCTAAGTAGTTACCAAACAAATAAAGATAGATGGGGAAACAGTGAAATAATAAGTTCCAGCTGACACTTGATCTTAAGATTGGAGTGATAAGGAATAGTGGGGACTATGGCAAAGCAGGAGCGTTCATGGCCCACCTAAAGGACGGCTACCCCTCTTCAGATGATTGTTGCCACACAGAATTACAGTGTTCTAGATATTCCTGTTTTTCCAAACAAGGTAGATTTTTACATGAAATCTCTCAAGTTTTAAATGTTAGCAATTTTTTTTGTTTCTAAGTATCTGACAAACAAAACACACCTACAGTTCATCTGTCTATGACTTATAATTCAGTCTCTCAAAGAAGCTGATTATATTTTGAGATGACAGACACTTTAATAGACCACATTTAAAATGTCAGCATTTAAAAAATCTGATATAGCTAAATAAAGCTTGAAAATCTAGCAACAGGCCAGGTACAGTGGCTCACTCCTATAATCCCAGCACTTTGGGAGGCTGAGGTAGGAGGACTGTTTGAGGCCAAGAGTTCAAAACTAGCCTGGGCAACATAGCGAGAACCCATCTCTACCAAAAAAAAAAAATTAATTTAGCTGGGCATAGTAGCGTGTGCCTGTAGTCCCGGCTACTCAGGAGGCTGAGACAGGAGGATCGGGAGGATTGCTTGAGCCCAGGAGGTTGAGGCTATAGTAAGCTATGATCACATCACTGCATCCCAGCCTGGGGAACACAGCAATACCCTATCTAAATGGAAAAAACAGCCAGGCACAGTGGCTTAAGCCTGTAATCCCAGCACTTTGAGAGGCCGAGATGAGTGGATAGCCTGAGCCCGTGGTTCGAGAACAGCCTGGGCAACTGGGTGAGATCTTGTCTCTACAATTTAAAAGTAAAACAAAATAAAATAAAAAATTAGCCGGGCATGATAGCACGTGCCTGTAGTTCTGGCTACTTGGAGGCTGAGGTGGAAGAATGGCTGGAGGCCAGCAGGTTGACACTGGGGCGGCCGTGAGTGTGCCACTGCACTCCAGCCTGGGTGATGGAGTGAGAATCCAACTCAAAAAAGAAAAAAAGAAAAAAGAAAATCAACAGAACAAAAGCAAATTGGCATTGTTTGGTGCCACCTGGAAAGCTTTCCAGCCTTCAAATTTCTCCAAAAGAGCTCTATGTTTGCATTCGTATACTTTGCTTTTAAAATCACATGTAACATTAATTCTGTGAAACAGAAGTCCTTATCACCCTTTCTATTTCACAGCTTTCTAATCTCACAGCACAAACAGATTAAATCATTTGCCAATCCCAGAACAAAAACTAGACTGAAATGCTGAAATCTCTTGCCCAGTCCCAGCTGCTGTGTTTAGATGAAAAGCACTGCGTGGCTATGTGAGAAAATGCCCTAAGAAGACCTCTGACTCAGAGTTGGAAGGGCGGAGCTTAAACCTGCAGATTCCAGTCCAGAGCTGGTCTAGTGGTCTGTGTGGTCAAGAAGCCACTAGAGCCGGGCTCGGTGGCTCAGCCTGTAATCCCGCACCTTTGGGAGGCTGAGGTGAGTGGATTGCCTGAGCCCGCGGGTTCGAGACCCACCTGAGCAACTCGGTGAGACCTCATCTCTACAATAAATCAAATATTAGCCGGGTGTGGTAGCACACGCCTGTAGTTCCAGCTACTCAGAAGGCTGAGGCGGAAGGATCGCCGGAGCCCAGCAGGTCGAGGCTGCGGTGGCCGGGAGTGGCCACTGCACTCCAGTCTGGGTGATAGAGTGAGACTCCAAATAAAAAAAAAAAAAAAAAAAAAAGGAAGCCACTAGAGAAAAGGGAATCCTCGAGTAGCTGACGCCAACTCCCAGCTCTTGCTCTATGGGAGAAGCAGCAAACCCACTGGGAGTGTGAGGCATGGGGAGCAACATTCAGGAGGCTCAGAGGGAGGGCTGAAGGACTGGTCTTCGGGTTCCATCTGGAAATTGCAGCGGTCCCCGCTGGGAACCACGAACCTGAGAACGCTTGTGGTTTCTGGGTCATTTCGAGCCGTCTAGGGTCTTGACAGAGACTTCTCAGTGGGAAGGCTATATTTAGGGAATGACCTTGATAATGATTATGTAACAGAGCAACCAAAAAATATGGCCAGCCTGCTCTAAAAAAGAAGACTTTGGGGGTTTGCTTTGCTTCTTCTTGTAGGGGCAAAAGAATACACAGCTGGAGAGAGCAGAGGAAGGGGTCTTCAGAAAGCCTCATGTTTCAGCAAGGTAGTACCTGGACAGGGCTTGGCCTCCTGGCCAGTAGACTGCCCAGTAAGGGTCGCTATGCGGCCACCGGTCAGCTCTCTCCCACCAGAACTTGCATCTGGGGGTCAAGAGCCGCAACTGGATTTCGGGGGTGAGGCTGCCACTGCTGGTGACTTCGGTGTTCTCCTCCAGGAAGGCCTTCACCTCAGGGTCCAGGACGTGTCCAGCTCCTCTCCAGGGAAACAAGGGAAGACCACTGCTTCTCACAGCCTGCAAAAGGAGACCACGGCGGGTCCTGGGCGCTTTCCAACCAAGACTCCAAGCCATCGGTCCTTTTCCCAGTCACAGGTTCCGTCAATGTGGCTATTGACAAGGGCTGCTCCTCACGGGGATAGAACAAGGGTCTGTCTCCCAGCTGGGTCTCAACTGGAACCCCCCAGGACATCTGAAACAGAAATAGTATGTGCTGAAAATCCCAAGGTTGACCACCATTTCCAGATCCTATTACATGATGGGAGCCAGCCACGGAGGCCTGCCTGCTGACAAAGTCCAGGGGGCTGAAGACCCTGGGTGGCAAAGCGAACCTGGGCAGCTGAGACCCTTGCTTCTTCTACTTTTGTTGTTAATGCAGCTGGAAAGTTCTGTACAGTCTGAAGATGGAAAACAAAATTCCACTCACACCAGTCACTATCCCTTGCAAAAAGGCAAAAGGGGAATTCATGAAAAAATTACCTTCCCTTCATTTGAATTCCTCCCTAGGTTTCCACGTCCCTGGCCTCCTGGTATTAGACCATGCAATCACTTAATTAAACATTGTAGTTGGGAAAATGTAAAAGATCAGAAGGTGCTCGATTTGATGTTTGTCAGGGAACTCACTGGCTTTGCCAGGGAATTATGGTAAGAGATTTTAGATATCGTGTGGGTAGATAATCGCTTGTAAGATTTTATTTCTTCTGATTGACAACTAATTGGAGAAATCTGGGAAGCTACAGTTTGTATTCTTAGGCAGAGTGCCAATGCAAAAATTACATTTCTACAAGTGGTATATTATGCTTAAGAGATTAGCAATCACATAAATGTTATAGGACTTCATGTTATTCAGGGTAAGTTTTTAACATAGAATTAAGAGCATAAAGTTAAGATTATAGAATTTTAAGCATAAGA